GCTCAGCACCCCCAAAGCTCTGATCCTAGAATCGCCCCTGACTTGCATTCATGAAAATAAAACCTAATTCAATCGCATTTTCTGGAGACATATATATATATATATGTCTGAACTCGCTGCACACACAGAATGAGTTAAACCTGTTTATTTTTTAAAGTTATGATTCATATACAAGGAATAGACAGGCAAGGTCTTAAATATTAAATTGAATGATTTTGTACGGTGTAGAAGTAAATTCATATTTCACTTGATTTACAGAGATGTGTTTATGATGTTTACAGATGTAATTATGTACACATTTCCATTTATATTTAATATTTACATGTTTTGGTATTTACACGATTACATGCTTATAATGTTTACATATTCACTTTCAAAACAGAGCCTTGAATCTAGCTAGTTGGTTTATATTTCATATTTATCCATGATGATGATCAGGTTGGACCCCTCCCCCTTGCCAGCATTCAGCAGGCAATGGCGGACAACTCCAAGTTTAGCTTCTATTTCCAAACTCCATATCCAATCAGATCCACCTCGATTTCCACCGTGTCCACTCTTGGGCTCTTCTGTCCAGTCCCAAGCTCTGCAGAGCCCCAACCCATGGCCTCTCATATCTGGAGCCCCCTCCTTTCAGTACTCAGCACATCTCTCCAAATATCTTGGCTCCCCTGGTTCTGTACAGGCCTCCTTAATTAACAAACTCCACACCATAACTGCTAATTGACCCAGGGCAACCCATACCAACAGGACTCAAGTCAATTAGACAATCTGGTTAGGGAAACATGATCAGTCAAAATATTCTCCCAAAAACATGAAATAAATAAAACCACCACAAAACAAAACTTTAACAAAACTGAAACCAAACCCATGCAACACAGTAATTTAAAACACAATAAAAAATGTATTAAAAACATGCAAATTGCAGCATATTAACGATCTGCCTTATAACTGAAAATCAAGGGTGCATTTAGAGAAAGACGCCCGTGGAAGCCAAAATCAGGGGAGGACGTTAATTGATTAACTGATGTGCAGAAGGACATCATGGGAGACGGAGCTTGGATGAATGAGAGGTCAACAAGGTGTCTCTAACGGAGGTTCAAAAAAAAACAGTCAAATGGACCACTGAAGAGCTGAAGTGATGTTCATGGGGAAGAAATGTTTATTTTTATCTGAATCATCATTATGGTCAAGATTGAAATCTTAATGCTCAATGAATTTTAAAATACATATGAAACCCTTACTGTACCCCAGAGATCTCTGTGAATTCATCAGGTAAGCGTTTACTCATTTTCTAATATTTGAACTGTGCCAAATGTATTTTTAACCAATTATATTTCATATATATTGTTGAACACTCAGTACAGTGATTCATATTGTAGAAGTGTAACTGTGTAACTATGAGACACTTCAAAAATGTCATTAATTGAAGTTACCCGGGAGGAGCTTTATTGCATTATAATTGCATTATGACACAAAACATCAGTGCATGGGTCATTTAGCAAGTTACTAAATCTCTAACAACAACATTCAAAATATGTTACTTTAGTTATTAGGATTTTATTTAGCTTTTTTGTGAAAAGCTTCACTGAGCACATCAGACATTCTGTGTATTCTGAGACATTCAATATGTTTAAGTAACTCTGTTAACTAATATTCTCAGGACTTTACTTTCCTGTGTATTAGTCGGGTATTATATATTAACTTTACATTTTAATACTATTGTTGGCAGAGTGAAATATATTTTTGAGATAATGTTAAAATGACAATTGAATGTTTTCTACCATAAACTGTTGTTTATATCAGGTTTCCTT